GGGGGGGTTGCACTGGGGGAGCTTTTGAGGTGCCGTCCAACTCCTGATATTCTGTGATTCTGTGATCTGTAACTTGTTGAAATCATTGCTGATATTTGTGAAAGTCTGTCTCACAAAAAAACCCCAACCAACCAAAACAATAAAACACCCAAACTTTCACTAAGCACAGCTTCCTCCCACAGAATCATTAAGCATCATAATCACCTATCCACTCATTAAATCAGAGACATCAGGATTCTTCCTAATCAGTTTTTGGCAGAATTCAGGCAAATAATGGACAGCTCTAAAAAACAACAGGAACGTTGTGTAGGAAAGGTCTCCCACAGCTTTGTGTGATCTGCAAGATCCATTTTAAGGCCTTTCATAGCATCTCGTAACAGGGGAAAAGAAAAAAAACCCAGCAAAATCATTACTTACTTTTGGCTGACTTTGATCGCGTCCGTATTCCCTCATCCATATTAAATATTTCTTCTCCCTTGACCCTGATGTCCTGAAGCCGCTTGTCGTCTGTGTTGATGCCATACTGGAGGAGCTTACACAACGCTACAGAGCTGGGGAGCAGGGAACAGGGAATTACAGATCAGAATTGCTCTGAACTGCCTGGTTTTCAGAGAGCTTTAGGGAACTTTCACAGAGCTTTAGGGAGCACCTCTCCAGAGCAGACATTCAGATGCCCTTTTTTTCTACAATTTTCCTGCTTTATGTCAGCATCCGAAACCGAATTCATCTCCTGACCTGCACAGCAAGGCAAGAACTGACAAAGCTCTGGATTAAACACTACTGAACAGTGCTCACAGACACTAAAGGTGTTTCCTTTAATGTTAAACACCTTTCCTGTAAGGTTAAACACTCCTGAAGCATCATGTGCAGATTAAAATGAAATTAAGAGGGAAGTAGTGGCAAGGAAGTAGTGACTTGGTTGATCTGCAGCCATGAACACCCCTTCTACTTTTCTCCAACTCAGACTCCTTTTCACTTCTGGTCCTTCACAGCTCAGCTATGCTCAGACCTCCCGTGTGCTCCCACAGTATCCTCAGGTGTTTCCACCTCTGCTGCTCAGATTTCCAGGCCACACTTTCAAACCCTCTCCAATCCCAGGCTGTTTTCCAGCCGTACTGAGGATGGCTTTGGCTAAGGCCACCAATTCATGCTGGGCACTCTTTAACCTCTCTCCTGGCTCCCAAGCCCCAGACTGAAGTTTCGGAGCTCCCTGGATCTTGCTCTCCTCGCGCTTTCACTTCACACCCTCTTTGCCTCCCATACTATGGCTCCAAGTTCCCACACTGATGGTTTGGACCCAGATCTTACACATCACCCCTGAGCTGCCCAAAGTTTTCCCTTCCTTTTATCATGCAGGTCAAGAGCAAACAGCCACTTCTTCAACCTGTCACTTGCAGGGAAGGGGACTGATGCACACAGAAGGTGTCAGCTATCTTCATCCTCCTTTCACCAACTCAAAATGCTCAGAAAACTCCTAGCATTTTCTAATGCACAATGAGCACCACTGCAAATAACCCAAATCAAAGTGTTTAATACAATGTGGAGTCCTGTCAAGTCATCTGTTCAACATTCTCCTCCCTGTCAGCTCAGCCTTGGCTTTCCCTGTGGCCGTACGCAGTCTCAGGGGATCCTGCAGACAACCCTGCCCATAGTGGGGACAAACCACTGCTTTTAGGGATGAAACAGACCAAAAATAGGAGCAGATTCCCAAATCAGACTGCCTCTTGTTCTGCATCATCACTCACAAAGTTCTGTTTCAAACATGCTTTCTCTTATTATTTATTTCACGGGCTATTTAACCACTTGCAGCTGTGGCAATATTTAAATTAACAGAGAGCATTTCATGCTTTGGAATACAGTACCCAGCCTCCACCAGAACACAAATGTGCTCCTACAGCAAAAGGGAGAGAAAACTGTTTCAGTTGGTCTCCTCATTGACTTTTAAGAGACCACTAAATCACCAAGAAAGCACCAGATTCTCTTAGGAAACTCTCCGCAATGCCCTGAACCCTGCAGCAGTCTATAAAGGCAATTTCATATCTGGAAGCCATTCTCATCCCATTCACAGCAGTTCAATCTCAAAAGCACTCCTGTGCTTGGGAGAGACGCCCCCTTCCCCCTTGGGTCACCCTATTCCAGCACAGAAACACCAGGCAGCACGAGGAGGGAGATCAGAGAGGGTTGCAGTGACCACAATTCTCCTGAGCCCAACTGACAGCGCAGGAGAAAACCAACTCTGTCCAACGCAGGCACACACCGATCCAAGCCTGAACCAGCTCTCCTTTCCCTCACACCCAGCACACTGAACTGCAATGGGATGATCAGTCAACTGATGTTAGCACATGGATCCTGCTCATGAAACACCCTACCTGACTTTGCCTTCGTACTGCCCGTAGAACAAGTGCTGCCGGCTCATCCACTCGGCCATGACAAACTCCAGGGCAGGCTTCCCAGTTGGTCCAGGGAGACTACACAGGAACTCCAGGAGTGGCTCCAGTTGGGAGTGAACCAAGTGAGCAAACACCATAATCAAGGACTACAGGAGGAGAGAGGAAATGTTAGCTGTACATAATTTAATAACTGAAAATGCTTGATGAAATATTCAAGTAACTGAGCTTTCTGCAAGAGTGCAGAGTGTGTGCTCTTACCAACCCCAAGAGGAAGCATAATCCTCTGCAAGACACCGTGCTACAACAGCAGGCAATACACCACTACAGTCAACAGCAGTATTTACACTCCACCAAAAAACATAGCAGGAATAAGTTTACTCGCACCCACGCCCCAAAGTAACAAACCTTCCTAAAGCAGAAGATTAAAAAGCTATTTTAAAAACATCAGAGGTTGCAGTTGACTTTTGACCAGCAAAGACACCATATGGCACCACTCGAACACTGCAAGCGCCCTGGTTTGCTCAATCCAGCAGCTGTTACACCCAGCTCTGCACACAGAGCTCTGAATCCTGCAGGAACGTCTCTTATCATCGAGCAGAAGTTACTGGTGCAGAGTCAGAGCCCAAATTCTGCTTTCCTTTCAGCCCAGGGATGTCCAACCATCACCTCTACCACAGGACCACCCTTCTCCCACACCATCACATCACTCAGCAGTGCTTTTCCAGGTCTGTGTGTGCTCTAAACTCAAGTTGTAGGCAAGGAACTGCGAGTTTTAGAAAGGTGTTTTTTAAATATGCAGTTTTACAGTTTGGCTCCTAAAAACAAAGAGCAGAACCCATATGCTGCAGACATCTAAATGTCAGTCTCCATGTCTGAGGGCATCTCTGCAGGCTTCCTTGGGGAAAAGCTGCCCACCCCCGGAGATTCACCTTTCAGGCTGATCCAGGGAAGAGATTCAGCACTGTGAAAGGCTCCTTTCTCCTCCCCTGGCTGCAGGGGCTTCATGTGACTGCTTCAGATTTAAGCTTTTAAATCCAAATATAGGCAAAGTGGGAGCCACTGTGAGCAGTTAAGAATCAACCACATTTCCAAGGGGAAAAGAAATCAAGGCTTGAAGATGAAATCTGTGCTGACATCTGAATGGCCTTCTTGACTCACCACGTGCTGGTGTGAAAAACACACATATAAAAACCAGAAAAACGCACGAGATAAAAGGCTTAGAGCAGAGTGAGCCTCAGTCGAGTGCCCCAGTGAACGCAAAGGTGGGATCTTGCCAGGAGGCAGAACTCCACACCAGTGCCAGCAAAACGCCTTCCCCAGCTGCTGCACAGGACCCAGGGCAGCCACCAGTACACGTTTTACATCAAGGGCACAGGCCAGAAAGACAGGAGAGAGAACGAAGAGCACCGGGATAAAAATCATCCCCTAAGCCTGCGCCACTGCAGGTCAAGGCTAGCAGAGATTGCCACTCTTGTCTGACACAGCCCAACTACATCTCCCATCCACCAGAAGCTCACCTTTCCTCAACTCCCAGGCATTTATCCTTCAAAAAAGCACAGAAACACTCAAAAACGCGTGCCGCCTTTGCCACGGCATCCCTACTTAGGCAACTCATCCCCACTGAAGGTTTACAGCCTGCAAGCACGAGGTCATGAGGGACTATTTAAAGTTCATTAAAAGCTTACCCACAAGAACCTGGCTCAGCCCGTAATCCAGACAACTCTGCATGAGCAGAGCAGGCATTTTCCCGACTACTTCATGAGGATGCTTCAAGCCTCCAATTACAGTAGCCATAAATGATCCATTTCTCAACGAAAAGAACAGTGACAATTTCTTTTCCCAACTCTTCTTACTCTCCTGGTTCCCAGCCTGCTCACCTGCATTACACTGAGCGTCTCCGCTTGTTGCATTTTACTCAGGATAGCTCTCAGGATCTGGTCCAGATTCTCTCCCAGCTCACTTCCTGCTTTGGATATCAAAGTGGAGACCAGCTTGCCCACAAAGGCTGCGGTGAATTCAGAGGTCCTTGGGTCTAGAAGCTGGCTCACCACCTGCATCACGTACCACAGCCCATTGTGGCCTTGCTCATCGTGCCACTGCGCAATTTGCTCCAGCGCCACCGAGACGTAGGCACGCAGACACTCGCCACCATTCTAAACAAGGAAATTATCACGTTAGAATTTCCCTTTCTAGGTAAGGGAGCGGGGAGGCATGGGAAGACATCTCCCATCGTCACCCCAGAAAGACTCTTAGCCAAGACAACAACAATGGGCAAACTGGTGGCATCTGTAAGAGATCCCAGCTCTCCGATGCACAGTAAAACGAGTGCCTATATTTAAAAATAGTTTCTATCAACTTCAGTTCACTATCAAGTACAAAACTCATCACTGCTCAGGCAGCTCTCAAGAACATCACCTGGAAAATACAAAGACAACCCGAAGCAGCTGCAGTTTTATGCCAGCCTTGTTATCCAGAGACATTTCAAGAGATTCTAACAAGTGAGAGACAAAGACAGCAAAGTGTAGCATGGACAAAACACAACCCCGCAGCCAAGCAGCATCTCCTTGAATGCTTCTTGAAACAAAGATCCAGCAGAGCAACCAGCATGCTGCTCTCCAACCTCTTCTTGCTGGTCTCCAACCTGGTTTTACTGGTACGTTGTTTAAGGGAAGCTGTTTCTATGGTCAGTATTCACATGGCAAAGGGTAGCTGGCACGATAAACTCCTTACACAAGGAATGAAACTACCCTTATTGTTTATAAACCAGCTAGTGGCTGGAATGAAAGGGTATCCTGCACTTCTAGCCTCTGATGCTTTTTCCTTCTTGCTTAAATGCTCTGAAGACACCATCAGGTAATAACAGAGCCTGCCAACAAGCACAGCTCAGGCACTGCTGCTGTTTGTGATCAACTTTGCTGTCCCTCCATGCCATACCTGGCTCAGCTATAGGGAAGTCTGCCCTCCCCTTCCCACCTAAATGAATATAGGAGAAAACTGTTAGGAGGAGGAGGAGGTCTAGGAGGTCTTTTGCACAGGAGGTCTTTTGCTTCCCTATGCCTGAGCACGTTCCCAAAGACAGCCTCTGCAATTCCTGGGTGTGATGGAAGTTATTATGGGGGAAGACAAGCAATAAAGGTTTTGTTGTGGTTTTGTTTGTTTAGGTTTGAATTTTTTTATGTGCTCCAGAGCTCTAAACCAGAAAAAGAGGTCAAGGCTGCTGCTCTACTCACTCTGGTTGTCCAGATTAAGGAATGATCAGCAAACATCACTTCAAGCCCTTGAACAGCAGTACTTTAATGATAAACTGGAGGTGGCAAAGAAAGCGTGAGGAGCTGCTGATACAGCTATTGGCAAGCAAAGCCTAGGCTCCCTTAAAGGCCATGTCACCGGTTTCGCTTGGTCACCGCTCTGGGACCCACAGAGCCCTGCAACCCCTCCCGCTCCCCGCAGCGTTACCTGCATTGTAGCGTTGTCATCTGTGTTCAAGCTGCACTGAGCCACCGCAGGGAACGCCTGGCAGATGAGGAGCTGGGACAGAGGAGGTTTTGTATTCCTCACGACTGTGGTCAATATATCAATAGATGTCTGAAAGGAAAACATGAACAAAAGCACCGTTACGGCAGCCGCCACTTTAC